ACTAACACGAATCCATTAGTCATCTCTTGGTCCGATTCAGAACCAAATTTTTTATACTCAATTAGACCTGTCACATTATGCATGCCAAATTCCGTTACTTGAGAATTTAGCAGACAACAGGACAAGCAGCAGGCTTTATCGGAGCTAAAAAGTTACAAGCTACAGGTTGGACACCAGCAGCAGTTTCCAAGCGTTCCCATGTTAACCTGCGCTTCTCAGCTGCGGCGCTTGACCTTATATCTTCCTCCTCCAACTTACATTGGCAGGCAAGTACCAGCTCCTCATCCATATCGCTAAACATCTTCTTCACGTTCAGCGTCAGGTTCAACACTGCTTGATTCCAGTGGTTTTGGGTGTTTCGCTCAATCGCTGGAAAGACAAGCGGCAAGATCACCTGGCGGTTATGCGCTATAAGGTTAAGGATGTGTTCATTGTTCCACAGCAAGTGAGCTCGTTCAGCCACCTGAAAACAAGAAAAAATGTCAAAAAAGAAAAGGAAAAGGGATGAAATAATATCATTTAACAGCTTCACCTCCCCATTGTGATGCTAATACATGGCTCTTTATTATCATCAAGCAGATTTTCAGCCAAAAACCGAAAAACATACTACAAAACCAAGAAGTACAATAATTACAATTTGGGCAGGGAGATCCAATCTATGCAGCAGAATATTACCTGGTAATGGGAACTATTGAGGCAGCATCTTATTCGCCGGAACAGTGGGACCATGACCTTTTGGAACTCGTCCATGCTAGTCATTTCCAAAACCTCTTCTAACTCACTCAAAAACATCAACTCCTTCTGGCTATTTGTTACTGGCCAGTACTTCAACAACCCCTTTATTACAGTACTTGCCAACTTCGGATCCTTATCTATAAACTGTACAACACAATATGTCAATTGCTGATGATAAATACCCACTGACTTCGGTTTGTGTAGAGGAATCAGAGCCCTCCACAAAAATATCTTGTGTTCCTCCTTCAGTGGCAAAGCAAACCCGCTAATTACACTCCCAAAAATCTCCAACAGCTCCGAAATTCCATTATGCCTTTCAGTTTCGAAAACAAACCGATATATGATATTGCTGACAGCTTTTCGTATAAAAGGTCTGTGTACCATGAATTTTCCATAAATCCTATGCAGAATGGTTTTCAAACAGTCTCTTTCTCTTGGGTCCTCAGAGTCAAAGAGATCAAGTAATTTTACGATAAAAGAATGATCCACATGCTTTTTCGCCACCTTTATGTCAAGTGAACTATAACTGATAAACCGAACCAGAAGATCATACACAATTTGCAGATGTGACCAAGCAGGATCAAACAATGGTTCTTCATCGTCCGTTTCACCCCCAGTAAAATTAGATCGGTATTTAGGTGGGAAAACTCTAAACAGGTTCATTGCACACATCTTACACAAGGCAGAAATCGCTGGTTCACTGAACTTTGCAGATCCAGAAGAAACAAAATCAACAAGTTCTATCAATGTTTCACGTTTAACATCTTGCTTAACTGGATCACTGGAATCAATGAACTCGCAGCAAAGGTTCAGCTTGCTGATGAACAGATTATGCTTCTGTGGATTTGAAACCTCTTTGAAGGATAGATGGGGCTCTACTGCCTCAGCTCCAGCTGCAATGCTTGATGGGAAAACTGCTGAAGACACCCGTTTGACAACATTTAATTTGCTTGTAAGAGAACTGCCACCAATTGTACATTGGAACCCATTGCCCAAATTGGGAGTATTGCTGCCAGAATCACTCCCTGCAGAATCTAATGAATCAGATTTTGGCGACTTGCGGGGGAGTTTGCTTAGAATTTGCTTAAGCATGGTGGACCTCCTGCAAAATCCAGCCAATAAGTTACATGGATTAAGTTGTAGCAAACAAATCCATACATCAATACAAAAAACTCTCAAACAGAATATCATTGAGCATAGCACAAGGGTTTATACTAGGATTGTTAAAAGGCAACAAAAGACTTCAACTGCGTAAGTAGTAACTGGAAATGAAGGACGGACTGAGCAGAGCACCACTAAACAAGTGGTCTTCAAATCAGAGTAATATCTACATGACCATATTTCTTCAGTAAAATCCAGACAGAAAGCCTACGCAAGTAACAACTGAAATGAATCTTTCACGCCCTTTGGCAGTAGAGTTGCCAAGTAACTAATGTCATTGTCCAGCAGATGGTAAATCCAGATCAAACTCAAAAGCAAATAATTCAAAACATGAAGAATTTGTATACCAATGAAAATCTAATAAATACTTTAGGCTTACTAAAGAAGACATCAACCAGACCAGACCAGACCAGACCATACCAGACCAGAAAAGAAAGAAACAACTAATTAGCAAAAATTATAAGATAATAAAAATAATAAATGCATAAAGTTATTAGATTTTGGTACAGCAACCAAATTGGACAATGGAAACTCAGATCTGGAACAAAAGTATGAGAAAAAAAAGAGAATTATAACATAGATCTACACTGCAGCACACGTATTAGACTGACGACCAAAACCAGATCAGAAATCATAAAACCCTCTTAAAAAAGAAAACTTGGCCATGATCTATACAATGCATACTCTGAATTTATGTTAAAGATAAGAACTTGGAAGTCTCTGCACTTCAGCTAAACTAAACATTCAGAGAGAGAGAGAGAGAGAGAGAGAGAGAGAAACCTGTTTTTTAGCTGCTGGATATGCTTGAAAAACAACACAGAGAGACCTTTTTAGCAAAGGAGAGAAGCACAGAAGGAGCTCATGATAACCTCAAAACTACCCAAAATGTAATTTTGGCTGAGAAAGCAATTTACTTTGAAATAAAATTAAAAAAATACAAAGGGCAGGCAGAGAAAGGCTGTGTTTGGCTGTGGAGCTGTCTCTTTTCGAAATGATTTTGATCCACTATTTCCTTTTATGTTGGACTACGGAGGGACCTCCATGGAAGATCACTACGAGGTCCTCGATACAAGAGAATAGGCGGTGTGGCATTTTCTGAGAATTGCAGGTATCAGTCTCCACCAACAGAAGGTGAGGAAAATAATATATTGGGTAATATAAGCAATACAAAATTAAAGTTTGAAACTTTGGGTTCAGTTGGTAAAGAAAGAAAAAACTATTCATAATATTCTCAAAGCTATGCTTGGCTAAGCTGAATAAGATCTGGATTGGATTTTCATTTGGTAAAAGTTTTGCTATTATTGTACTTGTGGGGCACCGAAAGCAGCCTTATTGTACCAGGTAGCAGTAGCACGAACCCTAGTATGATGTTTTTTTTTTTCTTTAACTGGTATTTTTGTTGGCAATTGATTTACTGATATTTGATTTGATTAGCCCCAAGAAAAAGAAGAGGGTAGATTTGGCATAATCCAAGTCCCAACCTTTACCCAAAAGAAAACACGCAAACCACCTCACCTCTTCTGCAGTAAATATTCTTTTACTTACTCGGCTTTAGATACTGTTTTCTGGTTTAACTGTGCGTTTTCTGCTGTTAATCTTCTGTCAATTCCAAAAGGCTGATTCTTTGTCTTGAAGGAAGTTTCTCCATTAAGGAATTTATGTTAAGCATTCGTTAAGGATTTTTAATAAAGATATTTAGTCAAATACTCATTTTTAGCACTAAAATTATAAATAAACCCTACACTATTTAATTTCTATAAACAAACCCAAAAAATGACAATTAGCCCGATTAAATTTAATTTTGATTATTAAATTATTTTGATGCCCTATTGAGTGTTTTGGGCTTTTTTATATGTTTTGGGGTTGAGTTTGTTTTAAGAAATCAATGACAATTTTGTAATTTAAAATGAGTTAAAAGCCTTTTTGTTATGTTGTAAATGAGCTTTGGGTGTGTTTATAAAGTCCATTTCATATAAGGTATTTTTATAATTTGAGCTCCTATATTGGGTATAATAGTGAATCTCCCTTTTTAATATTAGTCATCCATTAGATATGTAAGTGGGTTACATATTTTTATACATACGGTTCAATGACGGCTTAGATTAAAAATCTTTAATCAATCCTCAACATAAAACCTTTAATAAATCATTATCCTTGAAGAAAGAATCTTAAAAAGAACCATTATGTTGGCAAATTTAAGTAAAGGTTAAGTCTTTGATTTGTTCAATTGTTCCCAAAAGACAATGATGGGATCAAAATGATAACAAAATGACAAAATATAGGACCAAGCCCAAGTCTTGTTCTAGCCCCCACACACCACACCCACAGGGTGTTCCTTAATAAGTTGGTAAGGAGAGAAAACATGTACATTTAAAAAATCATATACTAAAAGGTCGGAGGAGCTACTTATAAGCAGAGAAGACCAAATGATTCACATAGCAGTAACTTTATTTCTGGTAACTCCAATGTAATAATACAATGCTTCACTTTCTTGGCCGAATTATGCTTTGCCAGTAAAAAAGCTAGCGTTTTAGCAGCTCTGCTTTTTAAGCCAGAGCAATTTTCTCAAAAGGGTCATGGCCCATTGGCCATTTGGTTTGGCCCTTCCATCCCACTGAGAAGCATTCAGAATGTATTCGCTTGGATTAATTTAATTATGCCTTTGCTTTGCTCTGTTTGACCTTATAAACACAGATCCCATTGAGTTTAAATACTCTTATGACATATTAGAAAATGAATGATAGGTGGTGTTTATTTTATAATCTTATTTAGGGACACCAAATTAAGGGTAATTAATATTTAATGGGGAAGTTATTAATATTTGGGAGAATTTAACAGCAAATTGCACATGACTTTGATTCAGTACATGTACAGTGTACTCATTCATGAGATATATGATGATGGTGTCAGCAAACAAAAGTCATCAATGCGCATTTCTGGCATCAAAATTGGCTTTGTGAATTAATTTTGAGCTATTATTAATAATCCAAGAAATATTTGCAATAAAAGGTAGGACAGAGTTAAGGATATGAAAGCACGCTAGCTGTAATTACAATCAAGATCCACTGAAAGACATGAAATTGGAATAAAAAGGTGAAAAGAAAAGGGTACAATCTAGATTTCTCTCTTATTCTCACTGATGGGAAGAAGGAAAAAACAGAAAAAAACCAGAAAACCAGAAAAAGGAGGGGTCTGTGTTGGATCCTAAACACTGATATGGTCCTAATTAACAAGAAAAACACAGGCCCCATCTAATATATGTACATATTCAGACCAAAAAAAAAAAAAAAAATCTAATATATGTACATACATGTGCTTGATCAGTACCGTTCATTTCATTGTGTCAGAACCTGAGACGTCCTTGGAGCTGCATGCAATGCATATAAATAATTGCAGACATAAATATCAACATATGACAACCTTTTAAACAAGAAGAAGAAGAAGTTTGCATTAAATACTAAAAATGGAGAAAATTATTGAGAAATTTTTTGTTTCTAGTGAAGTAAAGCATTAGTTTACCTATCCCAACAGCCTCTGAACTTTTCATCAACCGAATACGCTTGCATGATTCTATAAACATTCTGCACCCATCATACATACATGCATATGTTTTAGAAATTAATGTCTCTGTGAAGTGAACACACTTTTATATTTCATCAGCAGCAGTAGAAAAGTAAACTCTTACTTCCAAGGGACGTCTCCAACTAACATCCAGTCCCCATCCTTGTCTTCATATGTCACCACTACATATTCATCCATTCCTTTCACTGCATCCTGGTTGCTAGTAGTATCCTCCGCATACTTACCTAATTAAACCATTAACGATCCATATAATTTAACATTTACACACATAAGTAAGACCAAGTAATTAATTGACAACTAATTAAGCAATATTATGCTCACCGCTTGTGGTGAAGGAAGGGAACATTTGGTCTAAGGCTCTCAATAGCTCATGATAACTTTTGTACATGTCTAAGTCTAGTTTCCGCAAGTAAGGAGCTCCATCTGCACCCACTTTTACATACGTGCTCTTGCTCTCCACCAATGCCTTCTGTCTCAATGATCTCACTGGTGGCCACCCAACTACTCTTGCCCTGATAACATGCACACAACACCATAAAGAATTAAACGCCTAATACAACATATACAAATTAAGAGTAATGTTCTCTTCTTCCGAAAGAACGACCTCTCTCGTATAAATTCACAGTCTAACAATATAATCATCTTATCCTTGATATAACGCACAAATTATTAAAGCAACATCTTTTATATGTAGTTACTTTGCAGCTGGGGACTTCACGGCTGTAGTTGTCCTGCCACTTGAGCTGGAGGAGGAGTAGTTGTTGTAATGAGCTTCCAACTTCCCATCCACTTTGATTTGGCTACGTGGCTCGCAGCTGGTAGAGCTTTCCAGGCCAATATTCTGATCAACGGTCTCCATGAACCCACGTTTCATGCTGCAGCTACTACTCTTGATTCCTCCGAAGAAATGATCAGCTGCTGATGAAGAACAACGTCGTGGACGACCAGGCAGTCCTAAAGTGAGCTCAGTGTCCTTAAAATCCATGCTTTTGCTGATATCATCATCGTCAACAGCTTCCGGTGGCATGTTCATGTTGATTAGTAAGTATGCTGTCCCAAAATCCAAAATCTAAATGCAATGCTCAAAAAACAGCAAATGCTGCTTCTTGGTGTTGGGTGATTTTGTAAGGTGTGAACGTGTGGTTGTTGTTGTTGCTTTTGCTGTGGCTTCTATGTACCTCTGTACCTGTACATATATACACATACATACATATATATATATATATATATAGAGAGAGAGAGAGAGAGAGAGAGATAATTAATGGTTATGGAGGTGGTAGAAAATTCAATGACTGGAGGAGGGTTGCCAATGAGCAGAGGCCACGTGTGGAAGCGCTGCTTGCGGTTGACATGCATGGTTTGACAGTAGCAGCTTAGAAGTTTGTGCCGCCTGCCGGTGCATTCAATCCAAATAAGTTTCTGTCACTCTCTATGAATCAGCTTTACATCCTAAAATATACAATTTAGTCATTTACTTACTAAATTTTACTATACGTTGCTGATGCTGGAAATGTCTGTCTGATTGTACAAGGAAATTTCCACATCAGTAATAGTACTCACTGATGTAATGTATTATGTATGTATGTGAGAGAGTCAATTTAAAGAGGTGACTAATTACACTCTTTGGATGAGCTGGGCCAACTGTAAACTTTGAGGTCAGTTGTTCAAATCCTATTGCTGTTGTGGGAGTTCCTGCTTTACCAGCACATACATTGTGGGATTGAGAGTGTGGGCCGGAGTTTACCTGATCTTTATCCTTCATAACTTGAAACAAAAAACAAATTAATTAGATTCTTCCTCTTCTCTTTAATCAGGAATAGTTAAATTCAAAACTTTACACAGACATGGATGAGTTCTTATAGGATTTCTTGAGACAAAGTTATAATGATAGAACAATAACAAAATAAATGTATTAATCCTCGTTCCACAATCCACACGTTAATAAACTCGGATCCTTAAACCCATAGTTGTGAAAAAGAAACTATAAAACTTAAAGAGTGCGGTGGGGGGTTAAGGATAATGATCCGTAGCTTTAAAGTGTTTCAAGTTTCCAAATGAAAGGATCAAGTATGGCGACAAGCATGTGACAAGTGTTGGAATGTCGGCAACATGTCGCCTTCCTATTCATTGTATCTAAACTCCAAAAGTGCAAGCCATGAAAGTAAGGAAGATGCTGCTGAGCTGAGGTTACAGCTCAAAACATCTCTCCCTGTTAAAAACCGGAAGCGGCCCCTAGCTTTATACAAACCGGTTTTAAATCTTCTTCTTTGTTTGTTTTTTGTCGGAGTCTTAACTTGAGATTAGATGTTAATATTCTCATTTTTCCATTAATCGAATTAATATGTTATATAGGATGCGTATTAAATCAGTTATCAAGTCTCTGTTTACTTTGCATCCGAATTCGATCTCTTTACTTTATAGGTCATCCCTAAAACCCTCATTACCTCCAGAATCTCACTATTGTGAAGACTGGTGAGATTCATAGGATTCGATATCAACCACCAAATCCAGCTGAGTTAAGAGCACGGGATTCATGAGTAGTTGGCACGTGTTATAGATAATACACTATAATTAATGTAGTGATTTGCGCCGTTAACTCTAATTAAGCACTTGGGATTGCTGCCTAATCATGTGGGGGTCTCATGCTGGGTTTGAGAGCTTCCAACCTATTCATGTGCATTCATGAGTTGTAATTACAACACATCCCTTAAATATGGGGTTTTTTCGCCAAAACCAAGTGTCGACATATTTTTCTTTTCTTTTTTGGGGGTTATTTAAAGAGATTCCCTTCGCGTTGGAACAGTACAAGTTTTCTCTGAAAATATTAAATGAGGCGTCTAATAAATAAAACAAATAAATAAACTGATAAGGTAGAGAAAACAATGCAAGCCGATGTCATTATTCATTAATGTTTCAGCCGTATTAAACGATCCAAATGCGAACCAAACCAATGAAAAAATTTTCCCATATCTAACTAGAAAAAATGGCCAAAAAGATTATACATGTCTTGTCTTGCCCAGTTTAACCAAGGCAATTAACCTGGAGGGGTCTCCCATACAGCTACAGCTAAAGTTCCAAGTGGCACAAATCAATACCAATAGAATAGAGGCACGAACCACCAGGGGCCAGGGAGGAGGGGGAGGGGGACAGAGAGAGAGAGAAAGAGAGAAGAGAACACAATGGCTAATTACAACGGGACTACATTTTATCTTTTTCGAATGATGACAGATGGGAGAGAGAATATATATAAATTATATATATATATATATATATAGAGAGAGAGAGAGAGAAAGAAGAAACATATATAAATCCGAGAAACACGAGCAGGATTCTACAGAAGCAATGGGCACACGGCGAGGAGACTAAGGACGATCCATCCAGCCTTAAAAGAACCCAAATATTTTGCTAAGCGCTTTCTGCCGGAAGCTGACCCACAATCCCAAGATTGTTGGCATATTTGGGCCTCCACTCGGTCCTTCCCCTTACAATCTCAGCTCCTTCCTCAAGTTGGAGCAAGTGCTGGCACTCAACGCCGCCATTGCTTCCCAAATTGCCTATATCAGCACCTGAGACTGCAGTCAGGGACTGAAGCACACTGTCCCGCCCACACTCCCTTCTATACTCCAGAGTCAAAGAAGAAAGCTCGTGACTCTCCAAGATTGGCAAGGGAGCACTCTGCATCAACCAGAATCATCTTTCAATTAGAGGCATGTAAGATTAGAAGCAGAAGCAGTTCTCACAGAAAAATATTGATCATCCATCCATCCAAAAACTCTACGTAACGAATCCACTAACTACTTTAGGCGCACTATATAAGTTTAATTTCAACTGGTTTTCAGAATCAGTAGACCCGGTAGTACATTGCACACCATCTCTTGAACTGCTGAAAAGAAAGTGAAATTTCCATGGAAAGAAGCCTACCTCAAGGATCCAGCCAATGTACTTCACATTATTAACATGCTGGTTGATATCTAAATCACTCCACCTAGGCTGCAAATAGAAAAGTATCATTCAGGGTGAGCTAGCAGCTAAATCAATAACAAATTCTATGCAAAGATGATTGACGTACAGTTAAACCAGTGCGAACAAAGTCCGCTGTCTTGTCGTCAAGTTTCAGCAGTTTCCTGCTGTCCTCCTCCACAACAGGAGGAGAATTCATAAAAAATGGCTCTATTTCACCTCGAACTTCATCAGGAATTTTGGATAATCTCCTCGTCAGCTTATTCATCATCACCCACACACTGCAAAAGCATCAAATCCCAATCAAATACCATTTAATTGTGCTAGCACACTATATTGCTAGTTGACTTGTCAAAAGCTATCTTGGATCAGCAACATGTGAGCCATAGAAAACATTTATTAAATTATTTGTGAAAAGAGAACAAGATACCTAGTGGCTCTTGTTAAAATTTGGCCAGTTTTGCAATCCTGGAGGATCCAATCGCGACGCATACCATTCTTCCCAGAGGCACTAACCCAAGTGTCAACTTGAACAACGTCACCCCTGCAAGATAGAAAGAAACTACTTCAGCCCATCACCATAATAGTCCAATCAAATTAATAAGTAACATACTCTTATTCTCTCATTCAAAGATAAATAATTATATAAAGTAATCAGATAAAACAGATGGCAAACAACTTGTCAGTTTAACCTAGTTGGGTGTAGAATTATATATTAGTGCAAACGAAAGATTCAAAACTCATTCCTGTATCGGGAGTTTAGTTGGCTTCTACATCAAGCATTTTTCCCCTACCAAAACAACCACATCAACTCTGACAGAATCAGAATGCAAATGCACATGAACACATCACAGGAGCAAGCCGATCAAGTTCATGACACAGTAAACCTTCATGCCAAAATCATTATACACAGTGACAAAAGATAATAAATAGCATTTCAAAACTTCAATACACAGTGAGGGAAAAAGAAGAATCTTAATAAAAAAATGAGCAATTAGCTCGGCATATCGACAAATAACACCTTGAATTACTTTTCTGAAACCATACATCAACCATGTGCCCTGTTTAATATGAATATCAAATTCAAACGGTAACTTTTTAAATGTCCCCACTGCTCTTCAAGGCATGATCTCAAATTCCCAGTGCTATGCCCCAAACAACTTTGATAGCAACTTCAACAACAAACTCATATACCCAACATCAACAGCAAGCTAGATTGGACAAACCAAGTTACCAATTCAATTGGCTTTTTCCTTGCCCTAAATCTAAGACTCCCACTTTAATTTCAGAACTTCAACTTATAGCAAAACTAGCATGACTTGCTCCAACGCCTAGAGGCAATTTCACAGACAATCAGACAAGTCCTTCAGAGCACCATGTCAGACGCAATCTCGACGACATCAAGTTATATGTTAATTATCTCAAATATTGGTCAATTTTTATCACGTCTGATGTTGTTATAACTTATAACCATTCGGAGATAACAAAAAGTTAAAGATATTTAGAGCAATATATATCATCAAATTCTTCTTTTAGAGAAAAAAAAATTCATGAAATCCCAAGATGTCATAGCATGAAAGTACACTTCAACACACAATTATACTATGCATTAATAATAATCGTTTTTTTAATTAAGAACAAACTAAAATTCTTCTCTTCATGGATTAGCATAAATGAGCAATGACTCCAACAGGGATAAACATAAAAGAACTTTCTCTGTCAGATAATACGGGTTAAGCCTGACAAATCAACAAAGCATCATTGCAACTGGAACTCAAATAAAGGACTTCAACTTTCAAACTAAATAATGCTGCATCATCTTAACAAAATTTTACAGATACCATGAACTATACAGAATTCATATAATAGATAATAGCAAATCTAGTTGACTTACCAAGTAGGATAGCGGTCTACTACAACCTGCATTTTAGTCACCACCCATATCAGGTTCCTTACTGACATCTCTGGTGTTGAACCAAAGCCATCTCCCAGAAGCCCAGCAGTCTTAACATGATTAAGTGCTGTTTCCTGCAGCCAGAAAAGAAAAGTAATTAACGACAAGGCTTGTAAAGAAGAAAATGAAATTCAAGCTCAAGCACACACAAAAACAGTTACATAACACGCATTTTTTAGTTTTAATCTCTCTGCTACAAATTTATATAACGAATGCATCTTCAAAAGCTATAACCATGAAATAGAAAGTGTCACAAACCTGTAAATGATTCATTAACGTCTCTATTGAAGCCGTACGATCAGCACCTATTTCATATGATCTAATTGAGAAGTTCTGGCGGAAGACAAGACCATCCTGAACAATTCTTCCTAAACCAAATGGGTCAATAAGCATGTCAGGCCGCTTGGGTTTCCAATCAAGCATCGTCCATTGCTTCTCTGCAGCCAAGAAGATTGTGGTAATAGCAGCAAGGAGCACACTCCAATCAGGTAATTGGTTAATGAAAGTCCGTGCAGGAGGGGATGACATCTCATCCCCATTCTTCCCACTTTCAACAGTTGCCAAACCAACGCTAGTGCCATTTATCTTTGAAGGGGCTTGAGCATTTGCCTTTACCTGCAAACTGCCCGACGCAGACTTAGATTTGAGTCCTAAACCGGCAGACCCAGGTCCAAGCTTGGCATTTTTGGCACCAGAGTCTTGGTTTGGAGAAGGAATTGGAAAGATCGACGAAGTAGCAGCAGTGGCGACCATGATGACAATTCAGTCAGAGCGAAGGGTTAGCAATCAAGGCACTGCAACAGTAAAATAAAAACCGTGTCAATATTGTTTCATAGTAAGGGGTGCAAGAATAGTCGAATCTTCAGCAAAATGTAGAAAACGCCAACATGTTACCACTGCAGACATCAACCTAATAACCGATCAACAGGTCCAAAACGTTCAATAACTTAATTACAACAAACACCGAGAATAATATTCTTCATAAACAAATTACGCTAACAACATTATCTGATTCAGTTTTCAGTACCCAACAAAAAAGCAAAAAAATGTGTTCTACATATTCTGATTTTTTTTTTTCTCTAGAAACCAGTCTATTATAAGAAACTTCAAATATTTTGCTCTATATTAAAATTCGAAAAACATATTATCCTTATAGAACTGCAAAACGGAGGAAGAACAAATAACAATCAATTTGACCCCATACGAAACTGTTAATTAAACTTTTCGGCAAATGTTTCCATCTTCAATAACGGAACTCCAAAAGACAAAACAAAAGTGACAGAGAAACCTAAAATCATTGGGGGAGAAAAATGGGTAAGCCACAGAAATAAGAAAACTTTATAAGAACCTTCAAGGACATTTAATTGCCTCTAAAACACAAGAACTTTGGAAGCACATCGATTAACCTACTAAGGCCCAAAAAAATTAAAATTTTGCGCATATATGCAGAGGAAATCAAGGTAGATCTGAGCTTGCAGCTACACATACCAAGTGAGAAATCACGCAAATTTCACGTCATAAACCAAAACAAAAACTTGTAAATGAAACAAGAACCATTTTGCCGCTTCGTTCCTCCAAGCAAATAAACTTGTTATTTTGATGCCTTTGGTTGCGGAGAAAATGTGGAAATAAAAGAGAAATTTTCAAATTTTCAAATTTTTTAAAATAGATCTCTGATTTTAAAAACCAAACAAAAGACCTCCGCTCAACCAAACGGAAACCGAAACAACGCGGCAACATTTTCATATCATTCTGTTTACCTCAACTTTCTCGGCAACCAAACAGACACACTCCGGATCAGACGTGAAAAATGAAATATATCTGGACCTTCTCGGGCCTTACCTTAACCAGCGAGAGAAATAACCCGAGCAAACTCAAAAGGTGTGCAATTCAAAGCAGAGGGGAGGGCTATTGCGTCATTTTGGATCGGAAAACCCTCTTTTTCTGCGTAATTTCTAGGGTTTGTGATTCTTCCTCGGTGTTTCTTTTAGCTTTTTTTCAAAAGCAAAAAATAAAACTGTGAGAGAGAGAGAGAGGAGAGAGAGAAGGGATTTAGGGCCAGCGGTTTTGTGGGTGGTGGGGAATTGGCTTCCAGCGACTTAATATATAGTTTCCACCTGGCTCTATTTAAATCCCGCCTCATGTTCAACTTCCAAACTTCTTCCAACTCTATTCTCCTTCCATTTACGTCTTTGCCCTCTCCCTTTCCAATATTTTTCTCCTCTTCTTCATAAAATTAAATTGCCATCAATTATTGTTGAGGCACCGTTTATTTATTTTTTTAAATGACTTTTATTTTTTGGCCAAATAAATAACTTTTCTTTTGACTTGGGAATAAAATGTTAAGAGTCCCAGAAAACTTAGATGATTAAAGATGTTTTTTTTTGTTAGGAGTCCCATAAAAATGTTATTAAAATGTTTACAAACTGTCTTTGGATAGAGGGAGATATCCTATAGAATCCTATCCAAAATTTTATTTTCCTAGACCCATAGCTAGAAAATCCTCTCTTTTTTATTTAGAAATTATAAATACGAGGTTAATTCGAATATGAAATTCAATATTGGAAATACAAGAATTTCGGAGGAGATGAAACATGAGCTTAAATAAAGGAAGAAAATAATTAAGGACTTACAGTATGTACTCGAGGTTCTATCTTCGAATTTCTACATCCAATATCTATGTATATGAAAAATGTAAATAAGGCATGGTCCTCTTTTTTAGGTTACATAAATTCATGACCTTAGCACACATTGTTAATGTAATTCAAAGGAGTAAAAGAGTAATTGGGCCATCCACCTTGAAACAATACCCACCTTGAAACAATAGCCGTCTTTTCACACTAGATGGGGGTTAAACTTGTATGATTTTCCATCTTGTAACTTCCAAACATTAACAAGAACATCGTGGCCACATATATATAATATTAAAAAATAAAAAATAAAAAATAAAAAGAAAAGTCATAATAACATATATTAGTTGAGCTACGTATTAGCTAGGTCGATGCCAAATTGAACCCATGATCCATATCCAAAATTGATGGTGAGTAGCTCAACTATATGTGTGTGCTTAACAGTTTGAATTGCCAGCTCAAAATATGCTTTTGACACCCTCCTCTCATCTCAAATATAATATAGTTTTTTGATTCGTCAAATATTTGCTAGACTCAGTGTATATTTTTGATGTATTTGGAAGTCATCAAAACCAATTTCGTTTAAAAAGTACACCATTTTAATTCTTCCATCAATAACCCCCCATTACCCAACAAACCACATACCACATTTTTGACTCTTCAACTTTGTTGGCTCCCCCATTACATGCAAATCATATTCATATTCTTCAAATTTTAAAATTTAATAATGCACATAAAATTCAGATAATTTATTTTATATTTTATATGTTTTTAGACGATATAATATTTGTTTATGAGATTTGAATTCAGAATCAGCCACAAAGATGAAGATATTAACATGCATATGTGTGTTAAGTCAGTTGATTAGGACAGTGAGTCGGCCTTAGAGATAATTGACTGTGTGCGTGTGCGTGTGGCGTGTGGCGTGGGTGGCAATTTGAACGTTAATACGTTTGCTTGTGGAACTTGTGAGAAGCTAGAAGCTGGTAAAAACCCAGACGTTTCTTTTCTTCTAACAGTCAAGGCGGACTGCACAACAATAGTGACAAAGACACTTCTACAACGGACACAATTCAGTGGCAACTTCGTGATTGTGAGTGCGTGGAAAGGGCAAATTGGTAAAGTTGGAAACAGTTATAATAGCCGTTAAATAGGCTTCTAATTCGTTAATGTTAACGCAGCTTTTGGTCCCCACTCAGCTCCCTTTCACAACCTGGCAACCAGCAATTTTATTTTTTTTGGGTCCGGATGGCAACCAGCAATTAGGATTAAGGGATGGGATACCACCTGGAATTTTAACAATTAAATAATAAATTATGAAATTCAATTATAACCAGCATACAGAAAACGATAAAAGGGTAAAAATTCTGATGTTTCTGTTTATTATCGTATAAGAAAATTATTAACCATTCATGACTTTAATATTATTTATTTTCATAGAAAAAGGATTTTCATAAAATTAACATTTGTAATTAATCGACTGATTGAGATAGTGTATCCAACAGCCATGCCCATGTGAGATTGGATAAGGTGGGGTTGCCAACCAATTAGAATAGAGTAACATATTATATATTACTTAAAACAAAAATCCAAGAGTTTATAGTATTATACAGAAAAGAGAGAGAGAAAATGTTACATTTATAACAAATTTATTTTTAACTATAACACAAACTTCTATATAACTCAGCTTTAGCGCATATGAGGTGGGTTATGTCATTTGGTTAGAACAGTGAGAAGGACGCCTCTTATACTTCAAATCGAATCTCCAACATATTAAATTAATTTAAAGTAATTTAGATGATTATCGCTTGTAAAACCAAAAAAAAAATAGTCACTCATCTTTTAGCATAGATGTGGGTTATATAGTTCAAGTTATGCTCATAATATATTATATTAATTTATAGTAATTTTGACTATTGCTAATGTAAAAACAAAAATAAAAAACTTTAGCCTAAAAACGCCAAAATGCAAGTGCTTCTTTAAAAAGCACTTTCTAATACTTTGACTTGGATTTTTACGTGCATGCAAGAAGAGGCTCAGTACTGATGGGGAAGACTGCACCAGCACCACCCACTTATCGATTGGTGCATGGGGACTGTGTGTACTGCTTTCTAAGGGAGCCATAGATTTTTGCTTTCTGAATCATTCCTTCCCAAACTCATCAAAATGCAGATTCAGTGGTTACAACTTACACTGGTCAACAAATTTTAGATTTTAGTTTTGGGTAAACTGGAGACAAGTTCACTATTAGAAAACCTCTTTATTAAGTTACTGAGAGATCGTGGCTTATATTCATGTTAGTCACAAATAAGACCCTTTTTTCTTTCTTGTGGTAATCAACTAATACATGAAAATTTGAGAAATTAAGTGTGACTCGGACATTTTTAATTTATTTACAAGTTTTATTTTCTGAAAAATTTGAGTGACGAACAAGAAGCACAATGAATAAGCTCCACAACCACAACATTTTCAATAGATGTAACATAAACATCTTATTTGTCCATCTACCAACCAATCATTTTTTAATTTGTTTGACTTTGATGTAAACTAGAGAAGTTACGTTGGTGTTTTTCTTACTTATGAAGTATATATGAACCTTCAATTGAATCATAAGGAAAAGATTGATTTGAATTTCCAAAGGGATGGTCGTAGTCAATGAACAATATAACGTGGTTGGGCGTGGAAAATTGGAACGTGATGATGCTCTTTTGTTGTGTCATTTTGTATCTGCGGTCAGTGTGTCACACACTCTCACCAAAATCACCATGCAATGGAGCCACGTTACAGCACCGAATTCTAATTGCACCTTAACCTAACTTGTTAATTATTACCTTTTTGTGTACAAATTCATTATAACTAGCAAGAAAGAAAGAACATTAGATAATAAAAAGGGCATATAAATTGCGGCTAACCTATGTCAGTCGCTTCTTAATTTGATAACCTTTTTTTCTTACTCAAATCAAATCGACTCTTCTGTTGCACATGCAAGCAGTATTATTAAGTTGAATATATATACCGGGCCCAAAGCCCTTGGAAATTTTTTGCGTCAAAATCTTGTCACTTATCAATATTTCATTTCGACAGAGACATCTTGAATCTGGTATGCTATAGAAGATGCATGTGAATGTCAAGTGTTAGGGTTTGCACGGCAAACAGTTGAGAGTTAAGAAGAAACAAATAATAATGATAAATTAAAGGATGATTTGAGGTATATGTGGTGCAGAAGAAGAGAAGAGAAGAGAAGAGAAGAGCAAAGTGAGAGGTCAAGGGTGCACCCAACTAACGCAAATATAAAATTGGTTTTTGACAAGGAAATCCAAACGTGTTGATAGATGGATGTATCCCGTGTGTAGGGGCTAATGCTTAATGGAGATGGGTAGGTTTGAGTTTGCTCAACTATATATCTATATCTTCTTCTTCGTCTTCTTTTTTCTTTCTTTCTTTCCTTTGAATTTGCCAGCTTAAAGGAAAAGGAAAAGGAAAAGGAAAAGGGCCTAAGCCTCTCATTAGAATTTAGATTACCTTCCTGTTGCTGCCCTCGTTTGTTGCCTGCCCACAGCTATCTACCTTGCGTGGTCCAACCCAAATACTAATCCACCGCCTCTCTCAACTCAATCATCTCTAATTAATTTGCTACGCCGCCGACATTACAGTTTGCACATACCAACCCTAGCTAAGAATGGGATTTGACATTTTCCCTCAATATAATTAGGGGAGCCACATGCATTAATTGGAAGGCTGCAGTTGTGATACCCATACCCAAATTAGACAAAATCTAATTCTAGAATGCCAAACTTGGATAATTTGCTAATTAGGACGTGAGATCCAAAATTGGATCATTTACTAACTAACTAACTTTTCTTTAAATATTTGCATCTAGTTTGGCAAGCATTTATTTGTAGAAACTGGTATTAACCTTAATTAATTCACTGAATTTCGACCTTACAATGTACCTAACTAATGTTAATTTGACTTTCAGTTAATAAATTGAAGACGATATCGATATCCCATTGATTGCAAAAGCCCTTGTGAATTTCATATAATTGCTGTCTGTCTCAGTCTGTGTAGTGTAGCTTGCAGCTTAAAGAACATGACCATGATCATCTTTCCAAGGAAAACCTAAGCTAAGCTATCAAATCAATTAAGGAAACTAGCTTGTTTTATTTTGCTAATATTACCACGCTACCATGATATAACACATTACCTGATCACTTATATATTCATTCCATTCACACACAACTAGTGGTTACACGTACATCTCAATCATGTGCCCACTGGCTAATAAAACTTGAAAAATAAAAATACAGAAGGATGGAGATGCCAAAAAAATTAAAGTCCATTCAAGAATGGTCCAATATATTACTTGGGTTTTAACAACAAACTTCATTAGATTGGGACAACAACGACCCACAATATTGAATTATATGTTTTCTAAAATAATAATTGTTGGCATCAATGGTAAAAACAAGGAGCACCAAGGGTCTTTGTGGCAAAGGTTGAGCACCATGGATGTATGTGTTTTGCCGAATTCCTGACCTCTTATGTATTTCGGTTGATTTGTTTGCAATATCATCATCTACAAGTTCGGCACAATTAATGCGTTAACAATAATTAGATGTTTATTTTGGTGAATGTAGTGACATGCATAATTGACTATTGAGGAGCTAGTTTTGTTTTGTTTTTTATTTTTTTATTTTAATATAAGCGATAGGGAAGGGGAATTTCTCACATATACATACAACGATGATGTCATGAGGATTCGAATATGAGATCTCTGATATGCAAGTCAAGACTCTTTTTCACTGAGTTATACCTTGTTGGCAAAGCTAGCTTTAGATGAAAGGGATGAGATATAATTTGTGTATAGCTAGCTAGGGCAAGAACGGCCATGGTGTAATTATTAGAGTGATGAAGTGCTTGATGTCACATACCTTTTATCATACCAAACACGCCAAGTTTTAAACTATTTATAAGAAAACACATCTTTAAATAAAGACTCTAATTCTAAAACACAAGTAGACATGTAGAAAGTAGCCTTGTAGTTGTAGCTAAGAGCTCTCTCTGGCCTTAAGAGCAAGTCCACCCCAAAAGGCTAAGGCAAGGCAAAGGCAAGGCAAGGGCTGCCACTATTCATGTGAATAGTGGTAGCCTTGCCTTTTTTGGTTCCACCCCAAAAGGCTAAGGAAGGGCAAGAAAAAAAAAAGATTATGCAACAAAATATAAACAATTTAGAAATGTAAGAAATAAAATGATTATGCAAGAAAAAAATAAATATGGAAGAAAATATAAAAAAATTTACAAATGCAAGAAAAAAAAATGATTACAATTTACAAATATTGGAATGATAAGAGTTTGTATAAGGATTTGGTGTGGAAAGTGAATAAAAATGTTATGTATTTATAGGGAAAACATCCATAATTTTTTGGTGAAAATTTTTTGGATTTTTTTTGGCCCGCTGACGTCAGCGCCTTCGGGCTGCAGCTCGGGCAGAATTTGCCAGGGTTAGTGGGACCCATGGCTTGCCCGAGTTGGATTTGTTGTGCTGGAGGGGGAATTGGGTTGTTGGGGGCCTTTTGCCCAAGCAGGGCCCCTGCCTTGGACATGCTCTAAGAGCATTTCCAGCTAGGGCTGATACTATTCACGTGAATAGTGGCTGCCCTTGCCTTTTTTAGCTATGTTTGTTTCCAGCAGTCAAACCCTTGCCATGACAACTACTGTTCATTTTTAATACTATTCATATCAGATAAGATTTTCGGTATTTTTTTAAAAGTGAAGAGTATTTGTTGGTATTTATAGAAAATAAATTCAGTATTTTTTTGGAATTTTTAAAACATTTTTTCAATTTTTTATTGCACAAAAAATCGTCGCCGTTGGATTGCTGGAAAAAATCGAATCGGAGAGCCCAGCAGCAGCCACGTGGCAGAGAGTACTGTGCGCGGCACTGTAGCGCTGACGTCATCGATAACGTCAGCTTGCCCGAGTTTTGGACCTGGGGCTAGACTTGCCCTCGGGCCAGCTCAGTTCGCTGGGTCCCACTGCTTGCCCGGGCTGGATTTTGTTGCTGGAAACAGGTTTTTGGGCTTCCCCCCCAGCCCTCCCCTTGCCCTCCCTGCTGGAAATGCTCTAAGGGAATATGAGGCGGCTCATCTGAGATTTGGAAATTCTTGGGCTAAAAGAGGGCTGAAGTTTGCAAATGGGCCTTATAGTATTTTATTTTTATTTTTACGATACAAGTGATATTATGAGAGGAAATCCAACACAGGTGGAAGAGTATTTGCTTTGACCTCACTTGCACCTATGACACCAAGTACCCTAACTTATGAATGCTTTGACCCAAAAAATAAAATTAAAAAAAAATAAAATTCTAACTTGTCATGCATCTACCAATAAATTTCAATTTCACCAAGTGAAGTGAATTGCAGTTCTACAACTTTTAATTTACTGCAAAACCTGTCAACCTTATTGTTGTCACTTAGCTATTATAAAATCGCAACTGGAAACAAGCTGTTACGAGCCAGCTGATATCAAACCACTTGTCTAAATTTCCCTACACACCCTCTAATTATCAATTGAGCATCAGTGCCATTGAAACCACCATCATCAACAGATATGTAGTCCCAGTTAACTTCATTAATGTTGCTCCACTGCTTGGATTTGCTTTTGAGTCTGATGGCTTTGAATCATACCCGGAGGAAGAAGAAGAAGGTGATGTTGAGACAGATGAGGATGAAGAAGTAGACGCTGAAGTGGGTGTAGACTGATGATCATGACCATCAGTTGTGGGGGATGTGGTAGAATTTGAATCTGCCTCTTTAAAAATCTTTGCATCCGGGGAATTTGGTGGCAGTTTCAGAATACCTTCAAACAAACAAAAATCAACACTACATTATACATAATATATTGTAACTTCGGAAATGCTCAAAAATCACATAGTAATTACTTGGGCAATCAGAGATTTTGCCATCAATGTTGCAAGCTGAGGGCATTTGGAGAGCCAAAGTTGTATTGACAGGGAGGCCCATGGAAGGGTCAGTGCTCTCTTTGATGAGAGCACATAAGCACTTGGGTTTGTTGGCCTTCACCTTCTTGGTGTTTTCACAGCACTCTGGTGTTGGTTTCTTTGCTGTGCCACTCACAAATGGAATGCAAGCTGCAAGGGTTGCCATCTGCTCTGCACATTCATTCTCATCATCCTCCATTGTTGCCATTGATGCCATGGCCAATGAGGCCACCACAATACAAAACACTTTCAGTTTCTTGCTTCTCATATTTCTCTGTTTCAGTGGATTTTTCTTTTTGGGTATTGTGCAATTGTATGTCTCTCACTCTACCAACCTTTTAATTCCCTCTCCTTTTTGGTCTGTTTCTTCTTTTGCTTTGGGGCTTGGAAGAGTGCATGGAGAGCAAGCTTGGTATTTATCAGCTTCCAATAGTGTTCATGGTTGAATTAATATGCTGGGGGTGCCTTGAGAAATGGGATTGCTCACTCCAAAGGAAAATGAAATTCAATCTTATGAGTTTGCGATTCCCAATGACATCACTTACTTCTCAATGACATTTCCATTTACCAAAATGTTGGTAAAGCGTTTTCAACACCTCAAGTGCTTTACATCTCAATTCTCAAGCTGGGGTGTTCTAAAAAAAAAAAAAAAAACCTTTGGGGTGGTTTTTTTTTAGTCATGGTTAGATTGAAGTTCCTCATCACCCATTTTAGTCTCAATCAAATCCTGCTCCTAAAACCCGCTTCCTAACGCTGCTCATGTTCTCTAAATTTGATTTTACATCGTCTTTGATGGAGATTGCTGCAAATCACCCAATTGTTCTTTGGCAAAATTGTTGTTTTCGTTTATTTGTTCGCTCTTATGCGTAGGTAGATCGTTGGAAATCATATTTTCCCCAAATCTGTTACGGATGCGGTGGTGAGTGTGGCCACAACAACGCTTCTTCAGGTGGTGGTGGTAGGGTTTGTCCAGGCTCATAGGTTGTTTTAGGGTTTTGGTTATGTTGGGTTTGTGGGCTTTGTTTGGGCTTATGGTTAATTGTGGTGTTATGAGCTAGTAGTTTTAGTGTAGCCTTTGTCCGCATTAGTTTTGTTTTTAGCATGTTAGTTTGTTGCACTCTTGGGATTGGTAGATGTCTTGTTCATGTCTTTAATTGTACTGTTGAAGTTTATCTAATAAAGTTTCTATTTGATTTAAAAAAAAACTAATCTATAAATATATGGCTTATTATCACAAAACGTCCCTAACGTTTGCGAAATTATCGCATTGCATCCCTAACGTTTTTTTGTATCATTAATGGTCCCTAACGTTAATATAGGTACTCTTAAATAGTCCCTCTGTCAAAAAAAACTGTTAAATCTAGGGGTATAATCGTCAAATCAATCCAAAATTAAAAAAAAAAAAATTCCTTCCCTTCTCTCTCTCTCTGTTTCTCTTTTTTTTTTCTCCTCTCTTTCCTCCTCTTTTCTTCTTCTTTTCCTTCGCTGTTTCTTCTTTCTCTCCCTTTTTTTTTTTCTTCTTTCCTTCTTTCTCT